CAACTTTATTCACCTTCTATCAGATATTGTTTCATATGATTAAAATGAGGTTGGTAATAACTTCCTTTATAAAGTATTTCTATATTTTTGCTTGTTTTATTAAATGTATTTACATTTTTTCTATAAACAATTATTTCTTTTTTAGGTTGTTGTTGTTGGAAATGGAGCAGTTGGAAAATCCAGCATGATACAAAGATATTGCAAAGGAATATTTACACAAGAATATAAAAAGACTATAGGTGTAGACTTTCTAGAAAGGCAAATTGAGTAAGTTTTAATTATTTAATGAGAATAAATTTTATTCTGTTAAAAAGTGATGTTTTACACTTGATATGGTGTATATAATGAAAAACTGGGATTTTAAAAATTATGAATAAAACACACCTTTAATAATCCAGCAAATAAATATTAGTAAAATAAAAACGTTTTTGATCATTTTTTAACAATCTTTCTCCGTTAACATAAAAATAGAATGTAAATATGAAAATATAAATACAGTAGAGCGTCGTTTATCTGAAAGCATTTTAGTCAGCAAATTTAAATTTTTGCTAGTGCTGTGGCGCTGCAATCTTTGGCTATATCTTGGGCTACTCCATTATTTTTTTGTTGGTGTGTGTGTTTTAGCTGGCAGCAATGGCACTTTTGTGTGGTGTTTTTCTGAGGACTGTGTGTCGTGCTGAATCGAACGTATTTGATACTAGATCAACTTCTAAAGTATAATTTTTTTTGTTTTTATATTTTTCAATATATTTATTTTGTTTGTACAAAATAAAAAAATAATTTTTAACAATACAATAGCCACGATTATTATTTTAGAAAGTTTTCGTTAGGCTTAACATCGACGAAAATTCAATGCGAAGCGACACGCAACGGAGAAAAATTTCAACACGGGATAGGTTAATATATTTTTTCGTACATAATTGGTTATCCGAAAAATAAGTTATCCGAACAACCCCAGTCTCCAATTGATTCGGATAAACGACGCTCTACTGTAATTGAAAATGTAGTTGTGGTTGATAAAATAAACAAACACACAAATAATATAAATTAAGTTGAAAATGTCACTTAATAAAAATAAAATAAACGAAAGTAAAATGTTTCTTAATAAGATTAATTTTTGTAAAAGGACTGCCATGTGGTAACTAATGTGTCTGCATCCCTATGGTTGATGCAACCAGTTCTCTTGTGCACTTTAAAGATCTCCAACTTTTCAAGATATTTCATTGTGTATAAATTTGTTGTTAGTTTAATTATTGCTGCTTGATCTCAATGGACTTGAATGTCTTGTTGTTGTAAGCTGATAGCATGGTGTTTTTTAGGTTCTTAATCGTATATTTATGCTCCTTGAGATGTTGCTGCAAGTTGTGCATCGTGGCGCCCACATATACAAGGTCAGAATCAAAACGCTGGTTGCATAACAGTATAGAGTAGATTCCTGTGGCTGATTTCCAGTCATATCATTTCTTATTGTTTCTTTGGAGCTTGAAAACTAGGATTGTGTCAATATATCACTTGTAAATTATTAGTCTTGGCTGCCTTTTTATGTATTTGCCTTAAAAATGGGATATAATTTAAAACTATCCTTTGTTTTCGGTCTATCGTAGCATGTTGTTGTTTGGAAGGTTATGATTAGTTTTTCTATGATTTCCCTTTGGTATCCTTGTTGTTCAGCAATCCTTAAAATGTAACTTAGCTTCGTTATTGTGTCTTTTATGTTTGTACAATGCGTATAAGCGTTTCTTATCCAGGATTTAAATGCCACTAACTTGATATGATGCGGATTGATCAATTTATGTGGAATTAAAGTTGGTTGAAAACATGGTTTTTGTATATGCTGGTCCAGATTTCTCCCTGTCTGCAAGTGGTGGAAATATCCAAAATATTTACATTATTTTCACTCTCCTGGTCTACTTGTAGCAATAAACCATAAGGGTTATTACGGATTGTCTCCAAAAATTGCTGTAGGTCAGGTTTTCTTTGCCATAGGATGAATATATTGTCGACATTTCTGGTGTACAAAATGATAAGGTGTTGAAATTTGGGTAGAATTTTGTTTTCTAGTTGTTGTAAGGTAACTCACAAAGAATTGCCAATGTGGGGCTACCCATAGGTACGCCTCTTCCTTGTAAATATACTTTGTTCTCAAATTCAAGAAACAAGGTATAACCTACTAGGTGTGGAAGTTTTAGTATTTGATTGTGATTTGGTGGCACATTTTCAATATTGGCAAATAAAAAATCTTTTATTGCACAAAAACAAAGAGATAATTTTATAGAAGGATACATCAATTTAAAGTCCAAGACCTTCATATATTCATTGTCCTTTAGAGAAATGCCTTTGAGACTTTCTATAAGTTGCAGTGAATTGTTAATCGAGAGTGGATGGCAATGAGCATTAAATTGGAAGAATTTGACCAGTTGTTTTTGGTTAAGAATGTTGGAGAGTTACGTTTCTTGATTACAGGATGTATTTAGTATCCTGGTTTGTGCGTTTTGGCAAATGTGAATATTCTTGGTGCCCGGACTGTGGAGGTTTGCATACATATGTCACTGGAGGGTCAGCACCTCTTTGATGCCCTGTCAGGACTGACACCACCGTGTCCTGATTGACACGGAAGCTGAGACGTCTCAGTGTGTTGAGTCGGTCACACAAGCAGCTGCATGTGCAGGCGATCAGGCGGGATGGTGTGAGAGACAGTGCACCGGAAGTGACTCACGCAGAGACTAGGATAACAAAACAACCTACTTTAATTAGGAAAAATTTAAAGAAAAATACATGAATCTGGGGTCTAATTGATAAGGGTCTAACTGATACAATTATATACATGCCTTAGCAGATTCTGACAGAGAGAGTTTACAAAAAAAGCGAGTGGTGATAGATACCTGACGTAACGGTGGGTTTTCCATAGGCTGAAGCAACCTCGTTGACCAGAGTCGGAAAGTTCGGTGGGGAGGAGACGAGATAGTCCTATTAGGTATTCAGCGGTGATGTTAATCCAAGGATGATACTCACTAATTGCATAGGTGATCAGGAAAGTTCACTAAGGTAAACGAGAAGGTGAAAGAGCCAGAGGTGATGTGTATAGTATTGATAAAACAGGGTGATGACTGCACTTTTGGAAGAACGGTCAACGACTGCTTAACTTTTTTAGTTTTTTGTTATATTCAACTGATGAACTTGAGACAATAGGTCGGGAGGTTATGAGAAAGCATCACTTATCTGCTGAGAACTTAAACAATTAACTCCTAAATGCAAGAGTTTACAGTTATCCGACAAGATGGTATAATTAGAAGGTTATGTTATGATTTAGTTATGTAAATAAATTATGTAGTGCTGAGTCTCACACATAAAAGTCATTCTAAAGGAGTAGAGGTGAACCTTTTAACCCTTTGGTGTACTGTTTCTAAAAAAATGGATGGGTGCTGGTTGGCATTCTGTGCTTGTAATATATTCATGTAATTTCTTGTTGTAGGTTGAATGTTTTAGCAATACCATTACTTTTGATTTATCTGCCTTCATCAGGACTATGTTATTTTGTTGTAACCGTTGGCGTGATTTCTTTATGATGTTCTGAAAATGTCGTGTGTTTGAATCATTGTTTTTTATTTCTTTTGCCATTTGGAACTTGGTTTTCTAATGAACAAAATCCTGATTCATGTCATTCATACCTTTAATGATCAATTCAATGTCTGGCATGAAGGTCTCTGGCAGAGGCAAGGGGGCCAGAGCATAAAGAGGACTGAAATTTAAGGCTTCCAAAATGCATTGTGGTGTTACAATGTTATCCCATGATGTGATATGGGAGTTTCCACTTTTGTTTGGTTTAATATTCTGCATGCGGAATATCCATCTTAGTTTCTTGATGTAATTGCATTTTAAATTTCTTTGAACATTCTGTGTCAAATTAACGACACTTTTATTCACAATCGCTAGGAGCTGTGGGTCCTGTTCATAAAGGTAGTTCTCCATTTTTATCAGCTTGTATAATAGAGTGCATGTTTGTTGTCTTGTATTCCTTTCTGAGGCACAGTTGTCTCAGTTTTGGGATTAGCGAATTACATCCCATGGGTAAGCCTATTTGATAAATAGACATTGGAAAGGAAGCACTGAGTTTGAAAATCAAATTTAGCTCTTGCTTTACATAACTTAAGGGTCAGTTTCCTATACTGCTTGGCTGGCATAGCCATTGGTATACTTAAATATAATGTGTGTACTGGATAACTAACTATGAATAAAACACACTTTAATAATCCATCAAATAAATATTAGTAAAATAAAAACGTTTTCATAAATCTTATTAAGAGACATTTTTATTTTATTTTTAAGTGACATTTTCAACTTAATTTATATTATTTAAGTTTATTTTATCGACAACAACTATGTTTTCCGTTATTTATATTTTCATATTTACGTTCTATTTTTATGTTAACTGAGAAGATTGTTNAAAATTTTATGCTGTTCACAATTTGTTTTGTAATTTGTTAATTGATATATAATTTATGTTAATATGTTTAAAATTATTTTAACACATTTATGTAATATCGTTTAAAAATATTTTCGAATGTCTACAGTAAATACATATTAAAAAGTATGTGTGAAATTGTGAATTTTCACACATAAATGTGTGAAAATTTTTTTGTTTTATTGAAAAATAATTAAAGTCTAAATAAGACCTTTATGTGTGTGCTTATTTAAAAAATTTTGTTTCTTTTTCCCCCTTGTATGGGAGTACTTGTACTTGTATCAATAACTAATAAATAAACATATATAAATTTAGTGTTTAAATTATAAAACAGTGATTCTTTTTTTTAATGTGACCTATTGATGGATAAAATGTTTTGTTAAACTTAAATGGATGCTGTCTGAATGTAAAGAAAAAAAAACATTTTACCTGTCAACCTAATCCAAGGGGATAACTTGTATCTTGGCCTGATCTCCATAGCAAATGGCATAAAACACATATGGGTTAAACAGAGATTACATGAAAATAATTCCACATAGATACTTAAAATTTCAGGATGACATCTGCAATAGTCATTCCTTTAATTTAGTACCAATACTTGAATAATCTAAATTTTGCAAAACTTCGGCAATTGTGAACAATCTAAATCTCTATCTTTTCTCACTGAACGTGATTGAGTCTACAGCGTTATAGTTCATTGTAAAAAGAAATTAAATACAATGAAATTGTTGCTAACAGGAGGCTGTCATTTGCAAAATAATAACTATATACTTCAACTTTTATTTGCTCTTATTGGATGATTTAT